GGGCTTACTTGGGAGTAAGGCCTGTGTTATTCAACGAGGCTTTGTTGTGTAGTGGGTTCGACGCATGAAGAACCAGGACACAGTGTGATTAGCAGCTCATAGTTTACTAGCACACACCACAGAACAAAGGGATGCCGGCCAGGTGGCCAACTATATACAATTCCCATGGGCCACCCTCAGGTCCCATTGCAGGGTTTAAACTTCCCGCCAGGGTTCCTATTGGTGTTCGCTAGAGGTTTCAGGATCCTAGTCCTTATTGTTCTCTGAGAGTCTAGCCCTGCTGTAAGTCGCTGGCGCTGGCGCCTAGTGGCGGTTAGCAGACATAACAGGCTTACTCCTGGTCCTCTTGCATGAGTGTAATACTTAAGGACTAACGATTCCTTCATGCTGGTGTTCAGACTTCTAAAGTACATGCATAGTTTGATGCGGAGGGTAATGCGCTTTCAAATGAGCAGTCCCCAGGAAGATCCATGGAGGGGTTCCACTCTCTGGTAGGACTATGCCATATGCACAGTTTCTTATATGAATGATCTTGCTGACTCATTAGTCAGAGGTGAGCGGAAGTAGTGTTTTCAGAAAGATGTGCCTCCTTTATCCAGTTAGGTGTAGTAGTTAGGAGCACAGACTCTAATCCAGGAGAACCGGGTTTGATTCCCCACTCCTCCACATGCAGCCGCTGGGGTGACCTTGGGTCAGTCACAAGTCCTCTCAGAGCTGTTCTCTCACAAGCAGGCCTCAAATGAGTTCTCTCACCCCCACCTACCTCACAGGGTGTCTGTTGTGGGGAGGGGAAGGGAAAGGAGATTGTAGGCCGCTCTGAAACTCTGAGTGAAGGGTGGGGTATAAATCCAATCTCCTCCTCCTCCTCCTCTCTGGCTCCTCTTTACTGCAATGTAACGTGGTTCTATTTGGTGCACCTTCTGCATCTCATTAGGCTGCTTGAGGGTGCTGGAGATCCTGCCTCATTTCATTTGTGGTTGTTGGCGTAAGCTGCAACAACAAACTTTAAATCTTCAAACGGCATTGTACTTTTTGGGTGGGAGGGGATCTATAAATCCCAGAGTTGCATCTAGGAAATGGTTCTTTATGTTAGAAAGATTGGTTTGGAAGGTCTCCCGTGCTTTTCACTCCTATAATTTAACATGCAATTAGTTGATTGGATGGAAAACGTAATGGATCTCCCCCCCCCCCCATCCTTCCCAAAGGGCTCCAATTTTGATTATAGGCATTAGGTTTAAAAGAAGCCACAACAGGGATGCCAGATGCCCTGGTGGAGGTGGGGGCCCCCAATGTCAGTCCCCATTTCTTCGCCACTGATCCGCTGGTCGGCAAGGGGGGGGGACTTACACTGAAAAAGAGGGGGAGCCATCGAACATGTAGCGATGAGTGTATGTCACTGCCCATATGAAGAAGAAGAAGAGATTGGATTTATACCCCGCCCTTCACTTGGAGTCTCAGAGCGGCTTACAAGCTCTGTGCCCTTCCCCTCCCCACAACAGACACCCTGTGAGTCGGGTGGGGCTGAGTGAGCTCTTGACAGAAACTGTTCTTTTAGGAACAGCTGTGCCAGAGCTTGTGACTGACCCAAGGTCACATCAGCAGGTGCAAGTGGAGGAGTGGGGAATCAAACCCGGTTCTCCCAGATTAGAGTCCGCACACTTAACCACTACACCAAACTGGCTGACCCAGAAGAAGAGGAAGAGTTGGATTTATGCCCTTCACTTGGAGTCTCAGAGTGGCTTACAACCTCCTTCCCTTCCTCTCCCCACAACAGACACCCTGTGAGGTAGGTGGGGCTGAGGGGGCTCTTTCGAGGACTGCTCTTGAGAGAACAGCTCTGAGAGAACTTGTAACTGACCCAAGGTCACCGAGCTGGCTGCACATGGAGGAGTAGGGAATCAAACCCGGTTCTCCCAGATTAGAGTCAACTGCTCTTAAACACTTGTCAGCAAGCTGACATACTGTTTTCTGTTGTTGTTTTGAATGCTTGGGATCCAACATACTACACGCACAATACAAGATACACCAATCATTAGAATGATCCGAACATGGGTCATTGTTACATCTTATTGTGCGAAAACTGGAAATGTCAAATCATAACCCCCTAACATCCCAGCCACCCACTGGCATCAGTGAAACCAGAGAGAAGGCAGGCGGCAACCAGCAGCCAGGCATCGCCCATCTCTGACCTCTATGAGAACCCTCTTCTCATGTACCTTTTAAAATTATAAAATTTGGCTGAAAAATAAGGCAAAATACAGTAACTAAACAGAAGGCAGTGCTTTGGCATTAGGCACTTGCAAGGGAGTGAGCCAGTCGCTTACTGGCAGAAGGGGGGGAATTATTTAGCATTTGTCAAAAATGCACCACAATGCTGTCTGTGCTTACCAGCAAACATACTTACTGTAAACATACAGACACTCTTATATCACTCACCCACTTTATCTACCGCCTTTCCAGTCTGCAGATCCAATTAATTAAGCTTTGCTGATAAAAACTGATGTCACCTAGGGGCCCAAGCATCAATTTTCTCTGGGCTCGGGAGGAACTTGTACTCCCCCACACACACACCAGTCCCACACCACTCACACATGAACTCAGCCTCAGGAGTCAAGCAGAACAGTTTTCTACTTTATTGCTAAACTTCACAAATGTATCATATTATAGTAACTGGGGTGTCTGTGTAATATCACATAGTAATTTTTTTTGGCAGAGGTTGTTGGATCTTTGTTGTTAGCAGCTGTAAATAGGTTGCTTATTGTGATTTTAATTATTTTAATTGTATTTCCTGGTATAATGACCTTTATGGGCCATTTGTTGTAACCTGCCTCACAAGTTTTGGCTAAGAGCATTTGTGAGAGGTAAAAGATTAATAACAATAATAACAGGCTTACAGCCAGGTGAGGTCCCCTGGACTCCCAGGCCCTGCTAAAGAATACAGTTTCCCCCTAACACTTTGATGCCACAATATGCCAGTAAGGCACCATTCTGCCCTTAAGCTACTACAAACAAACACAGCTCCTCTTCTAGAGCACACAAATCTTTTCCATTCAGGCCAGATCACTGCGTTATCTCAAAAGAATCTTCTCTCTATCTGGGTTTGTGATAGAGCTGTTTTAACTGGACATTTTTTTGATTTTTTAAAAACACTCAGTCCTAATTGCTGGAACTGGAGTAGGAGAGAAAAACAACATACAAAGATGACAGCATCTCCAGCAATGTAAGGTTTCCCTGTGTTACATAGCCAAGAGAATTAGCTTAATTAAATGTCATGAACACATCACCTTCACTGAGATGCTGCAACAATAATTTTTTGGTTGTTAATTGTGAGCGAACTATCTCCCTTTATTTTATTTTTTTAAAGTCAAGAACTCTAAAAACCAGGACACAATTTATATAATTTCTTATCTAATGTCTAGACATGGAGAGTTACTTGCCTAAGGTTATACTGACATTTTGGAGGAGGGCAGGAAGGATGAATTTGGATAATCAAGGCATTCACATAATGATAGTTTTATTATGTACGGAGACCTGGATCTACAGTGTGCCTGGGAAATCACTCCCACCATGTGCCTAGGAAGGTGGTCCAGGGAAGCTGAAGCAACTTTCTGAGGGGTTATCCAACGAGTCAGAGTGAAAACAGACAAAACATTTTAAGAGTGGTGGGGATGCTTTCAAACTACCCTGAGAATATTGCACAGAAAAACACCTTTTCCTGCCCAGGAAACTTCTGAAAATGGAGTTTGGCAAGCATCTAGCATGTTTCAGTCTAAACCAGGGACAGATGGGGCTGCTGAAGGTGCCTGTTGGCTAGCACCTGTAACACCACCCAGTAAGTCTCCTCTCCCTACCCCGCTAATCCCAGTCTTAAAAGAGTCTTTAAAAGTTCACAACTGTTTTTAAGAAGATCAAGGATGAATATGTACAGACATGTATGTACAATTCCCACCCACAAATACAAAAAACATGATGGATGGGGAGAATTAAAGACTGATGGAATTTAACCTGCTCGCATGTGTGTGTATAAGGCAAGTTGAGAAGCCGGGATCACACTGTGGGAGAAGTATCCATTGTAACTACTGTCCTCACTCATAGTGGCAGAGAACTAGGCCACACAGACCCAACAGTGGGATCTAACTTAACATCCAGGAGTGCTGGATGAAGGAACATTTTTGCTGAAGGAAAAACTAGCCCCACTAAGTATCTGAACAGAAGACTAGGCTTCAAACTGTGCTGCTTCTAATCGGCTAGGCAAGGGGGCAACTTAACAGTTCAGCTAAGCCAGCATTATACCTATTCCCTGGAATAAGAGAAGTTTGACCCCCAGGAAATAGATAAAAAGTCACCTGGCAAAAAGTGAACAAAAGGGGGTGGGGTGGGAAAAGGTGTTGGAGGGGGGAGAGAGGAAAAAGCAGAACACCATTCATCGCAGCTAACGACTTGTTCATTATGAGTGATGATGGATAAAGACTTCTCACGCTGAGATGAAATCAAGATTTATATGCATTGTTTCCTCTCTCAACTTGTGGGAAGATCATCATCATCTAATTCTATCTCTGCGGCCAGCGATGGGCATCCGGAGAGCCGGTTATCAAACGGTGCAGTCAGCTGGCAAAAGCCGGAACGTGCGGCTGGCACATCTGGACTGAGCCGCCAACAGCCGAGGGTGAACGATGACGTCTGGCGAGGGGCCAAATTGCTTGCAGACGCTAGCAGGTTCTCCTCTACAACCGCCCCTTACAGCACTGTTCTTTTCTCTCTCTCTCTCTTTTTTTTACGAGAATCAGATTTTCATTGCTTCATTCAATTGCTCTCTACTGCCATTTTTTACAGCTCTTATCGTTCCCCTGGAATATGGCCTTGAGACAGCTCATCCGTGTCCTTCGCTGTGTTATCTCTTCTAACTTTTATTAAAACTTCAGCTTTCATCTGAAGATAGCTAATTAAATCCGTGACAGATTATAGACTCGTTTGAAGAAGAAGCAAAAAAAAAAAAAATTGTGCTCAACTACTTTTTCTAAACAGAACCCTGGGCGGCGGAATTATGTTCTCTTTCCAATGCAGTTAAAACTAAAGGGGGAGAGGGGGTAAGGGGGGGGGAGGGAGAGAGAATAAGGAGTGTTTCATTCATTTAACCAAGACAAGATGCTTATCTCCACCTAGTCTATAAGATAGGTTTATATTAAAGTTCTTTGTAGCGTGACAAGACCCCGTGCCATTTCTCACCATAATTATTTCCCGATGTCGGGAAGGATTTTCTCAGCCTTGGGGCTTTAAGGACATACCTGCTAACGTGGACAGAAAGCACAGACCTATAGTCACAAAATGAACTGCTGTTCTGCAATTACAATTTTAAAAGTATTTTGCAAAAAGCAAACAAATGAATAAAACAAATCTTTACAGACCAATTCTGAAAGTACTGATATAGAAGATAGTCCCACTAGGTTTAGTGGGGCATACTTCCAAGAAAAGGGGCATAAGTACTGAGACCTTAACTCTTAAGCACGTCATTTCTGAATGGCGTGAACACAGTATACAGAACAGATGCAAACAAAGTTGAAAACATTTTGATCTGAATGGCTCTCTCAAGTGATTTACAAACATGAGAAGTTAAAATATGGCTCTCAGTGCTGGCTGTGAAAATGTTCTAAATTAGTGGTTGTAAAAATGGGTATCCGGAAGTATGAGCAGGATTAAACATAACGTTTTTTGGAACACACATTTTAACGTATGTGTAAAGAATCACAAGAGGGTTGCGGTCAAAGACTCAGCTCAGAATGCTGAAATCCTCAAGCCCAAGTCTTTGGCACACCATCACTATGTGCTGAGACTTCTTTGGGGTACTCTGACATTGCAAAGACTGTCAGCCTTTTCCTGCCTTAAAGCTGCAAGCAAGAAAAAGCAGCACAAGATCCTTTCTCCAGGGCCACTAATATTAATGGACCTTTGCTCCCAAAAGCTGCTATGAGGTTTGGCATCTATGCCATTTACGATGATGGTGAGAATTATAGGAAATATGAATGTGAATTGGATTGGTGCCTTAATATTGTGTGTTACTGTGTGTCTTTCTGTGAATGGAGCTGATACTCCACTTTGGGGTCAAACCCTATTGCTCCTGCTTTAAACTTCTTGAAAACGCTGAAGAAGAGATTTGCTTATTTGAAACGAGTGAAATTAAATCTGGAAACCTCATCTTGGAATTCATACTTTGGACTTGGATCTCATACTCTGGACTGGGAGCAGATCTATTTAAGTATCTCATAACCCTTGCAGAATTAGAACATTTCGATTGCTTACTTGCTCCCTCCTTGCAAGTAATTGGCTTACTTTTTGTAAACTCATGATTTGGATGACTGTTACTTTACTTCTTTAGTGCAATTATTTGGAACAGGTTTTGCATTAGATGAATAGTTTTGTTAAGAAACATTCACGTTTACATTGAAATAATTACACTTTAATGTAAGAAAAATATTTGTTGCTTTTTGCGCTTTCTTTCACAGTCATATTTCCTATATTTCTCTGCATGTTTGCTGACTGTGGTTCCTTTAGTTGTTGATTTGGGATGATGGTGGCATTCTGACAGCCCTGGAGTGCACCTGTTTTGCCTGTTATTAAGTACTTCCACACTGGGCAGAGATGCAGCTATAGATTTACAGATCCAATTCCAATCTGCTTCTGACACGAATCTTTAAAAAAAGCAAGCAAAGACCCTGCACACTTTTCTAGCTCTTCTCAGATGAAGAACATCAGCCTTTGGTCTTTACTGTGACAAGGCCGTTTGCAACAAGAGAGACGATAATCACAAAATCAAGATCCGGGCTTTTGCCATCAATACTAGGCCATCGCCCTCATGGTTAGCATCTCTCCGGTTAAATACCTGGAAAAGGACAAATCAATGTGTACAAAACAGCTGGGAGATGTGCTAAGGGGGGTGGGAATTATTTGCACTGCTCACTGGGCAAAGCAAATTAGTGTTTTCCATGGCGGCAGCAACAAACAGATTTTGAAGAAATAGAAACAAGATGCTGACAGAGAAACACCCCTTTTAGAATGAGTGTGATAAGAGCTCCCACCTGAGCCTCGCTGGGATCCCTTCCTCCGCTTCAAGGCCTTTTGTAAGATGTCCTTCATGGTGACCTTCATGCTGTCCACCTGGATAAGCGAGAATCCATGCGCAGCATTTCTGAGAGAGAGAGAGAGAGAGAGATGTGTGCAGTGTGAGAGAGAGAGAGAGAGAGAGAGAGAGAGAGAGAGAGAGAGAGATGGTCAGACCACGTTATTGCAAAATGGTCACCAGAGGGCAGCTTGTGGCAGTGTTGGGACTATTATCCAGTGCTTGAAGATTTCAAGGACAGGGAAGGAAGGGAGAAAAATCCTTCTAAGACACCGATATGATGGGGAATGGTTTCTATCACTACAGAAAGCGGCAGTTGGCATAGGTTTGGGAGCACCGTATGCCTTTTGGGTGCAGCAGGAAGTCAACTATACTCTACCCAGAATCAACATACATGTTCTTGCAGTTGCTTTGAATTTTTGCCATAAAGTGTTACTATAGAGTAAGACAATATGAATGGGATGATGCACTTTTGCAATGGTCTTATTTATTTAGATTTTTGGTTTCCCTGTTGGCGAAAGCATTACCGTGCCTAAATATCATAGATGTGTCTGAAATAAAATTTAAAAACACACTTTTAAAATGTGTACCTTGCAGACTTCACACAGCTCTAAAAGCGGCTCTAAACCTACAAAAACTCATGCCATGATAAAACTGTTAGTCTTTAGGGTGCCATGGGGCTCTCTTGTTTTTGCTAAAACAGTAACACATCTGGACATCTGGAATGTGTCCCTGTCGCCTGGGAATCCAGGCGCAGCTCTGGACCCAGCAGCACCACAAGCAGAGGAAAATGAGACCTATCTAGCTAGATGTATGAGATCAGCACAGCAAAAGCTTCCAGGTATTTGTTCTTGCCAATCAATGGCACCTCTCAAACATCTGCACAGAGTCTCAGATATTTCACTGGCACCCAAGCCTTTAACACAGGGCAAGCCGAGGTGATTCACTATTCTGATCCAAGCCAAATGGAGCTTGTGAACCAAAGATATTCTTGCTGCATGTTTCTATAGCTCAAGTCCAGTGATTTCTAAACCAAGTGGGAGGGAACTGTGGGGCTCCTCAAAAGCTGATCTGCAGTCACTCTCCTCAATGATATGAGGATCGGCAAGGATGGACTAGCATCACCTAAAGGCAGTTTGCCTACCTCTACTGATCTTCCCCTGCAGTGCACAGCTTCAGAGGAGTGTTAGATGTGCTTTAAGGTGCACACTACAGTTACAGTAGGTGATAATGAAGCCTAACAGGGCTGGCCAGTGTCCCAAGTGAACTGAATGCATGCTCGGGAACATTCCCTGGAAACTTCTGCAGTGCACAAAAGTTCCATGACAGACTATTGAGGTTTCCCTGGAGAGGATGGGGTTTCCAGACCACCATTCTAACATGACCTGCTCTTCTCAGCCTCCCCATTCCTTCTTCAGTTCTCCAGATGCTTACACTTTGCGTGTCAAAAAGCAAAATAAAAATTAAAAATGGGATGTGTATCCAACCATGCAGTTCCTCTGATGGAACAGGATTTCTCAATGCCGAAGAGGGAGCAGTGAGTTCCACTGATCCCCCCCTTCCAACTGCAGAGCCCCCTACTTTCCCCCCCTGTACTGTTCCTGAGGGTCTGCTGACAGCCAGGAATAAAATTCCGGCAGGCTCAGTGTGGCTGCAGGTGGAGGAGGAAAGCAGAAATTTTCCTCTCCCCTAACTTTGCGGATGGTTGGGAGACACCCTAATGTTCAGATCTAGTCACCTCTAACAAGAGGATTGCTTTATTTTTGCTAGAGAGGCGTGCCTTACTTCATTCTCATGCTGGCCAGCCTTTACTGCTTTAAATCTTTCCTTGGGTAGCCAGCTCTCTAGTTTGTAGTGCATCCCTATGCTTTGACAAAGCAAAGGCAGCAAAAATTGTCTTGCCACCCAGGAGAGGGCAGGGAAGTATGTACCTTCAGGGTTTCAAGAGTTCAATCCCACCTTAGGTCTTCCTGCCATGGAACATTCTGAATTTTCACAGACATAGAAGCACCCAAACTTCCCCCCTACAGCTTTTGCGTACAAGAAATGTTCTCTCTCCCTCCCCTTTAAAACACCAGCCAAGTCTTGGAAACTGTGCATACAGGGCTGTATCCTTTCAACCGACAGCTGGATTCTGGCCATGTGGGGTGAGACTGGGGGTGCAATCAGATCTCCTGGCTGGAGGGGGCCCGCCTGCGCAGCCTAGGGTGAGTACCACAGCTGGAATCTAGAAAAACACACAGAGGAAGTGGCGCACGTTTACAGGATTTATGCGATGTTTTAAGCATATTGTTGAAGTGTTTATTTTTGCAAGTCACTCCATGCTCTGAAGAAGTGGGACAAAAATCCCTTACATCAAGTAAATCAGTAAGTAGTCTCCTAGCAGCATGGACAGCAACCTCACAGGGACAGAGACCCCGTAAAGACAGCAGGAGGGTCAAAGGAAAGAAACAAGAGGGGATGAAGGAAAAAAGAACTAGATACATGTTGGGGGAGGGGGGAACTATTTTTTAAGGCTCAGAAGAATGTTGCTTGAAAATATCTGAAGGACCTCTTGCTGTGCTGGATCCTGGCTAAAATGACCAACACTGACACCTTCCATTAGGTACCTCCCTACCGAGCAGCTTCTTTTGATTATGGAACAGTCAGACCATATCAATTCTGTGTGTGTGTGTATCATTCCCTTAATTTCCAGCTGACTTAAAAACAAGTCTCCAGCTTCACGGAGACACAAAATCATGCAGGCAGGATTCCACTTACTGGTTTGCAAGAGGAACAGTTCCAGTGTCACATGTAGGCTGGCCTTGCAGTTATAAACTAACTTTAAGCACAACAGATTTAAATACTTTTTTTTTTTGCTGTCTGCCATAGAGTTGCAATGGTGTACATACTCCCTCCACCCCATCTCTGGCTGCAGGCCTGACTTCAGTGGCGCCCTGCCCCTTCCCCCAATTTAGGTTCATTAAAACAGCAACCCTTGTTCACCTTGGCTGCATGCACAACAGCCTCGATCTTTTCTTCCACGTCCAAAGACTGCTCACAGAATGGCAAAGTTGGAGAACTGAGGCTTGTGCGATACGATCTCAGATCTTGGCCAAACTCCAAAGTAAATGTTAAGAAAATGAGTTGAAATACAGAAAGCAAGATGAGGTGAATAAATGGGAGACAGGCAAAGAGCTCTGAAGAGAAGGGAAAGGGTGAGCGGGGGGGGGGACGACGACCCTTCTTTATATGTTTGAAAGTTTTCATAAAATTTATTGCCTCAAAAGCAAGGACCAGTTGATACAAACAGCAGAGCCAAGTGACAAGCCTTTTCCACTTCAAGCTGTTTAGGGGTGTGACATCACACCTTTAAATGTTTCCCCATTTATAAAACACCTCCTTGCACACAGAAAACTAGTGTATCAGGGAGGAATTTGCTTAGTCTACTTCCTGACATACTTTCTTCCCCTAAGTTCGGGGAAGGATTTCCCCCCCTAGTGGGGAGAATTCCTGGGTGCACTCTCCCATCAAGCATCCAGAAATCATTTCAGTCCAGGAAAAAAACCCAACCCTTTGATTCTGCTGATCAAGGCAACCGGACTTGAAGGCCCTTCAAGTAAACACCAAAAAGGAGAAGATCTGGGATGGACAAACAGCAGCACGTAAAATGGTGATGAACTCAGCTTTCTGAAGTGTTACTGAAAAGTTCTTCCCATCATCTATGCTCCCCTCCCCATATCCATGACTGGGATAAATAGCTCTTTTTCAAGAACAATCCCCCCCCAAAAAACCCCTCCCTGCTGCTGGACTCAATTCTATATTAACTTTGACACGCCTGTCCTCTGTGAGCTCCGTGGCCTGAGAACTGTCAACTTAATTGCTCTGAGCAACTCTGAATCATGGCTGAACCTTGGCCATCCTTTACCTCAGAACCTGGAGTCTGTCCCAGAACCAATCTTGAAAAGTTTATTTTAACTGATCAAAGCAAAAGGTGGGGGGGAGGGAAGTGCCGGGGGCAGGGGGAGAAAGCCCCGCACATTTGACTATATTTAGTGGAGCTGTTCAGTAAAGAGAGGCTTTGGCAAAGGCTGTAGAATAGAAAGTGCAGCTTGAGATTGTAAACCTTGGGATGTTTGTTCTGGAGCCAGGCCAGGCAGTCCAACAACGAGTCTAGGGCTGACAACCAGGGTCTAGCTTGGGGGGGTTGTTTGCTGGTAGACTACAACATTGGTACTCCAGAGTTTGCACTGGGTTTCTGTGGCATTCCCAGCACGGCTCAAGGTCCCTACTTTTAACCTTGGAAGATGTTATGGGGCTTGAGCACCCTGTAATTCCTCCTACTACAACCTCTGCATTCCGGATCTTCCCTTGTCTCCCTCCTCCTCTTCTGATTCAGCTCCCCTTACTGAGCCACAAATCTCTACACTGCTTCCTCAGTCACGCCCCCCTCTTTTCCATCTCCCCTTGCAGTTGGATTGTAACCCATTTTGTAAGTCGGGCTGCTACTTTCTTTTATGCCTTGTATAAAAAAATCGCTCTTTAGCCTCTCTCTCTCTCTCCTGACTTCAATCTTCAAATCTGGCAATTGCCAGCAGTTTCCACTTATGCTGGTGGCTGCCCGTCTTTCTGCCTAGTGCCACAAGTCAAGTCCAGTGAACTGGAGTGCGTCACTCTACACAATCCCCATATACATCTCCATGCCTTGGAACGATTCTGCTTCTTTCCTTAAGTAGCTGGAGGACGGGTAGCAGCATACAGAAAAAGAGGCAGGCAGGAGTACAGAGGCACAAATGTTGGGCATGGTTCAGATGTCACATCAAACCCTGGTTGATGGTAAATGAAGGAGTCTGGAAATGGTACTCACATGCTCCCCCCCCCCCTTTGCCGATCCAGGATTTTGACACACCATGATCTGCCATTACATTTAAACTGACAAACGATGGGCTTGCACCCGGATCAGTGTGCTCAAGATTCCAAATGAGGAACAAGCCAGTTTGCAAGGCAGTCAAAAACACTTTGTTTGTGAGCTTGGATGCAAAGGAAAACTGTGGTCCCTTGCCAGCCTGTGCTGAGTGAGAGAAAAGAGC